ATGGCTTTTTCAGCAAGCGGGTCTGGCCTAGGGAGAATTTTAAATAGGGACAATTTTAATTAGAATTTTAATGGTAACACAGCGGTTAAATATTTGTTTTTAATTGGTTTTTATTGGGGATAGTGTTTGTATTGTTTTAATATGCTGTAAGCCGCCCTGAGTCCTGTTGGGAGAAGGGCGGCATATAAGTTTAATTAAAAATAAATAAATAAATAAATATCTGAAGGAAGAAATAATGGATCTAGAGAAAGAGCAGAATACGAAAGTTGTAATGGAATAGCATTAAAAAGATCTGCAAAAAGAAAGAGATGGGAAGCCTACAGACTAAAGGTAGTGTATAGAGTACAAAAGTCCTTGACTTACAATAGTTTATTTAGTGACCTTTCAAAGTTACAATGGTGCTGAAAAAAGGGACTTATGATCATTTTTCACACTTACGACCGTTGCAGCATCCCTATGGTCATGTGATCAACATTCAGATGCTTGACAACTGACTCATATTTATAACTGTTGCAGTGTCCCAAGATCACTTTTTTGCAACCTTTTGACAAGGAGTCAATGGGGAAGCCAGAGTCACTTAACAACCATGTTACTAACCTATCAACCGCAGTGATTCACTTAACAACTGTGGCAAGAAAGATCATAAAATAGAGGAAAACTCACTTAACAAATGTCTCACTTAGCAACAGAAATGTTGGGGCTCAGCTATGGTTGTAAATTGAGGACTACCTGTAATATAAAAATTCACAAGGCTAGTTTGCTAGGGAAGAAGAGTATGGAAAGGTATACAGATAGTCCTCAATTTACAACCCTCCTTTTAGTGACCATTCAAAGTTACACCAATACCAAAAAGTGAAGTATGACCTGTCCTTGCACTTACGACCGCTACAGCATTCTCATGGTCACATGATCAAAATCCAGGCAATCACGATAGTTGCAATGGTCACGTGGTCACCATTTGCAACCTTCACAACTGGCTTCTGGCATGATTCACCTAATAACTGCTTAACAGCTGTGCCAAAAAAGGTCATAAATTGGGCATGACTCATTTAATAACTGCCTTGCTTAGCAAGGCAAATTCTGGTCCTAATTGTGGTGGTAAGTTGAGGACTACCTGTAGTACATGGTGTTGTATAACATTTAGCAATTTTTCCTTTTTCTTCCTTCATTCCTTCCTAGAAAATTACTGTTTATTACTCTTTTCTGGATTCCACATAATGTTCCTAAAGGGAATAGTGTGATGAATACATGCACGTACATGCCAATAAACTGCTCACCTGGGATGTGAAAATAACCTGTAATCACTTACTCCTTGATAGAAAGGATACACAGCTGTCACTGCCCAGTATGAAATGCAGATGGCGATAAGAATAAAGGTTATAATTGGATAGAATAATGTAGACATGATGTAGCCAATTGCCCTAAATAAATAAATAGATAAAAGTTATTCAATTTATCAGATGTCATGCTGAGAAACAATGGACTTTTATATACAGCATACCAGATTTCCACTGTGATTTCTACTTCTTGTGTAATTTTTATTATGCAAATATGTGTAGCATATGTCATCATAAAATTGATGTAAATTCCCACAATATTTCTTTACATTTTAAAATTCTTATTTTTGCCTGTGCATGTGAAAAGTTCACATGACAACTAATGCCTATTTTTTTAAATTTCCAATGCCTTTTAGCTCTTTATTAGACAAGCTATATAAAAGTGGGGTTTTATTGCCCTCCAAATTTCCTCTTTCCTCTTTCATTTTGTCCCAGGCTCTACCTGTTCATCAACTCTTTATTTGTATTTTGTACTGTCCTTTAATATTTGTTTTATTCATATTTTTATTTAGCATCTTTCACAAGAAGGCATGTTTCCTCCCCCATGCTATAAATTTTGGTATCAGCTTCAAAAATCATTTTTTAAACTCAATTGCAACTTCTATCCAGTGCCCATAAAAGTTCATCCATCATAGTTCTTAGCAGATGTATACTTGAAACTGACATACTTATTTCCCTTAGCTTCTTTATACTATGGGACCCCAGAAATAAGAACTGTGGCTCTTCAGATGTGGCTGAGTTATAACTTCTAGGAAACACAATCACTATAATCAGTTTTGAATACTGAAAATTGTACTTAAGGAACACTTGGAAGCTGGATAGCCGTTTCATGCCTACTGTATCCCACAGAATAATAAAGTTCAGAATTTTCTTTCTTGGATTTACAAATACAACAAGACGTATTAAATTATTGTTACCAATTGTTGGAATGTATCTCTGTGCAACTACAGTAGTATTCAACCAGTAGATGGCAGTATTTACAAATTTGGATCTATGGTATATACTTTATGCTCTTTTGTTCTAAGAAGAGTTTCCTCTTAGGGTATTATAGTTGAGCAGTAAAGCACATGATGACTGTACCTTTGTTTGTTCTATGTGATGCTTTATATAAACAGAATTTCTAACATCAATGAAGGGGACTTTTGCAAAGGGAAGGAAATATTCAAACACAAGGACAAAATATTTAGGGGGAAAATGAAACCTAGTGAATCATCCAGCACCAACTATGAGTGCCATGGCAGAAGGTCAGAAGCTACCCAGGAGTGGCATAGAGTGGTTAGCATAGACTGTTTGCTTGTAAGTAGGAAAAAGGTAAACAAGAAAAAGGTAAACAATTCTTTGGTCCACATGTGGAGTAAAGAAAAGTCCATTTTAAATAAAAGTCTACTATTTTCTTCTCCTTTTTAGCCAATCTCTTCTATGTAACATTTTATTGTTCTCTCTATTCTTTGTCAATGTTTGTTTATTATTTCAATTTATATGGCTGCCCATCTGAAATGCATGCCTCGAGGGAGATAACAACCATTAAAAACATCATAAAACAATACACACAATCAGCAGCTGGTAAAAATGTAGAACAGAGTCTTCAAATTTGGCCCTTTTATGACCTGTGCACTTCAACTCCCAGAATTCCTCAACCAGGCATGCTGGCTGAGGAATTCTGGGAGTTGAAATCCACAAGTCATAAAAGAGTCACGTTTGAAGACTCCTGATGTAGAACCACAACCAATAAATTAATATAGCCATTGCACCGGCTCTGCCACACCTCTGGATCCTTAAGTCTGATAACAAAACCATGTTTTTAAGTTCTTGTGAACAGCCAGCAGACTCGGGGCTAATCTCATCTCTGGAGGGAGCTGTTTTAAAGGTTATGTGGCGTGACATCTCTGTCTGATGACGTTTTAAAATAGACAGAAGAGAATAATGGGTCAGGTAGATATAATCAGGGAGAGTTTATTCAGTCCCTCAGATAAGCCATCTCCATGTAATGGAGCAATTTATAGCTCATTACCAGCACTTTGAATTAAACCTAGAAACGTAATGGCAACCAATGCAGCTTGCAGAGCAGAAGTATAATGTGTACTGGTCAAGCAGCACATGTAATGGCCTATACCACTGTACGAGCTGTAGCTTCCAGATATTCTTCAAGGGCAGCTGCACATAAGACACACTGAAATAGTCCATTCAGAGGTGACATTAGTGTGTGTGAACAGAGCATCCTAGTCCGCTGGCAAAGCGCCCTGGCAGCCGGTGGCAGCGGGGGCGCTCTTGCACAGAAGATCTGGGCCGATTTGCCCTGCTCCAGGCAGGAGCAGCCCAGAGCAGCATAGCCAGGAGGGCAAAGAGCCCTGTGAGGCCCGAAGAGTGCTAGGTTCAGCCCTTAGCCTGGCGCCTGTAGCACTGAGTAGGCATGCAGGCTGGCGCTCAGTAGCCCAAATGCGGAGGCGAAGGGCTCTGGCAGGCCGGTGGCAGGGCAGCACTTTGAATCTTGGCCGACTTGCCCCTCACCAGGCTTGGCACCCTTTCCACCACTGCCCACCATGGCTGCACCTGGTCCGCCACCACACTCTCACCACCATGTTGCTTCTCCACCCCATGCACAGCCCCCCTCCACGCGCTCGTGTTCTACTGGTACAAATACCGGCAAAAAGTAAGCCCTCCCCGAAAGTAAAACCTTACTTCAGAGCCCAAAAGAAAGTAAGACCAGGTCTTACTTTCGGGGAAACACGAATGGATGGATGCATTTATTTATGTATTTGAAATATTTATGTAGCCACACATCTCATATCTAACTCTGGGTTGTCTTCAACCATCGATTAAAACAATATCAATAAAAAGACAACATAGTACATATACTTCCATATATTTATTAAAACTTCATATATTAAACCTGGTATCAAAGGTAAGCTTCCACATGCTGTCTATCATTAAACCTTCTTGTCCTTTTCACCCTATCTCAGCTTGGTAATGTTATGAAACCTGACTTTCTTCTCTACATGAGCATACTTTTTATATAATTACCATTTCAATTTTCGTAAGCCTTCCCTAATGCGGGCAATATACTCTGCACATGTTTATAATTATTTCACATAATTCAAAATAAGAGCTAAAATTTAAATTAATCCTTGCGTTAAACATTAGTTCTACATGGACAATTAATTTATTGTGCTAGAAACATCTTGACTGTTTTTTTTCAATCACTGAAGCTTCTGCTATTCAAGAAATAATTACTACAAATCAGTGTATTTCAGAATTTAATAATAGGTAGGCCTTATTGAAATCATAACTGTTTATAATAATAAACTGCTTGTTAAATTCTAGGAATAGATCGTAACTGATTTATTGCTAGTGTAAACTGCCATCTCACTGAAGAGATGATTAAACTAAACTTGGAAAAAAAATTACTTAGCTTTCAGTCATTAACCACATATTTTTCAAGACCTTGATTAGGGGTTACATTCTGTTGGGTTCACAATGAGATGCAACATTTCTTTTGATGAATGCATCAAAAGGCATCATATTTATGCACTTTCCAATGCAGAAATATTGGACAGTATTTCTGTGATATTTAGTGATCTTTAATGGAATATACACTCACTATAATGAACTCTTATTTTTTCACTACAAGTTTATGAAAATTTCTGCACACATTCTTTTAATTGTATTGTTTACTTTGCTATGATGCTTCCAGGTGACCCCGGAAAAATAGTTGAGTTTGATGACAACACTACAGAGCTGATACCTCACTACATATTTCACTTTCAACTTCACCCAAAACAGCAATCCTGATTATTGGCTCTGTGAGGAATAACAGATTGAAACTCAGTTTATACAAGATACAAGGCTGCTCTTTAGGGAGAAAAAAACAGAGAATTTGAAAGTGAAATACTTTTTGCCCTTACATTTATTTTCAGTGTCATTTCAGACAAAATAACCGAACAAATGATGTTGACCGATCCTTCCGTAGAGATGCCAAATATACATTTTAATAAAAAATATAAATATTATATGAAGTGGATTAATGTAATTCACAGTTTTTGAGGTAGCAGGATCATATTAATTAACCAAGGCTTGGCATTCTCGCAGAATAGCTCTCTTCACAATTAAGATAACCTACTTTGAAAGAGAATGTCAGGTCTCTTTCCTTCACTGTACAATCTGACTGAATCTATGAACTAGAGCAGGGGTAGTCAACCTTGGCTCTTTTATGACTCGTGGACTTCAATTCCCAGAATTCCTGAGCCAGCTTAGCTGGCTCAGGAATTCTGGGAGTTGAAGTCCACGAGTCATAAAAGAGCCAAGGTTGACTACCCCTGAACTAGAGCAAATAGCCTGATAACTTTCTGATAGGCTTCCAGTTATCATGGCTTTTGGCCAACTCTGCATACATATTTTTATGCGGGCTACTCAAACAGTTGTTCCGGGCTAGTTTGTGTCAGCTTTGTTGATGGGAAAAGTAGAGATCATTCTGTTCTCGGAGAAATGTTTCTCATAGGAAAGAAAGGGAAAGGGCTATAGATGGTCTGACTTTGGAAATGGAAATTAACACTGGCTAATTCAAAACTTAATTTTTAAATGGCTTTCTGGGGAATTGAAAATGGATGGACCAGTGTTAATTGCTGAAAATCTATTGCTAGTTCAGGGGAGTCATGTGGAGAATACGGCACAGTCCAGACCAGTGTGCTGGGGAGCAGAAGAAGGAAAGCACCATAAGAATGTGTCAAAGCGGAAAACAGCTCTCAGTGGATCTGAACTTGATTTTACCAGCCTGAATAAGAAAAACCAGCTGTCAGCTGGGCAGATAGAAAAAAATTGCCACCAATCTCTATAATCCATCCTTTAACTCTAAAATTAGGAAGTAAACAGAGTAAGGAATAGAGTATTCCATTATATATTTAGCTCACATTGTGATCTATAAATATTGGATGCTTAAAGTTGTTTCAGGCTACAGGAAAAAAATGTTCTTGCCTCACAATTAAAGCTGTTTAATCAGCTGAGGCTTGGGAACAGGGGAAAAAATGCAACGGATTGCAGTGCAATCAGTTGCTTGCTTGCCAAGTAAGGCCAAAAAGTGAAATTGCACAAAATTCTCATTTTAACATGTTTCGTAAAAAGAATTCAAGTGGAATATTGCTCTGAATTTCTAGAAAAACCTAAAAATCGTATACTCAGGTCACAATCTCTCCACTAATGGCTGGGAAGCCTGGGTCCAGAATACTGCAAAAATGAGAATGTTAATAATACTTACCGGCTACCTTCTTTCAAAAGGGCAATTGCAATCCGAATTCGATTTCTCAGAAATATTAACATCAGTATAATGACAACTTCCACTATACAAAGTAGTATCACTGAAAACAACAAAAAATAAGGCTGACTTAATCTCAACACAACACATTACCAGTTAGAAGGGTTAGTTTCAGTAGTCCCTTTCACAACTGCATCTTATTCAGGATTCCAGTGGAATTAAATCTCAACATACCTAGGTCAAGCCTAAACTATTTTATACACACTAAAGCAAGTATTTCATCAAGATTGTACTCTCTCATCACAACAATATTTATGAGTTTCATTTTGCATACCGCAAGCCTACTCCTCAATGAATATTATGGCATATAGTACAAGGAAATTGATGAAGAAAACCATTTGCGATGCAATGCATTACTTTAAATATAATTTTAAATTTAACACTATTAGTTTAAGGAAATATCTGTTTCAAATTACACAGTCCTTATTCATTGACTGCCTTTTGCTATTTTCGTTCATTGTATCTGGAGATGTTAAATATAATCAATGCTTATATGTGTCTGATTTTGTTCTCTTATTTATTGTATCCCAGTGCTTATCGTTATTATTCCTGGATAACAACTTTTTAATGAGTAAAAGCAGCCTGAATTTCAGCTATTTTTTTAATGTACTGATATTTACTTGAATTCCAGTATGATTTTTGTCTAGATTCAGAAATTCTGCAAATGAGAAATAACACTAAAGTCATATGTCTGTTTTTTTCCAGAAAGCAAAGGGGTAAAAGTAACAGGAACAATCCACTTCATCTCAGGCAAGAAAACTCACACTGAGTTTTATTGAACATAATAGGGATTATTTCTAAGTTTCAAGTTGGTTTTCATTTTAAGTGTTGATCCTACAGACATGTTGGAATACAATCCTATTGTCCCCAGAGCAGAAGAAAACAAGAGAGACTTTACAATTTGATTTTGCCTGCAGGCTCAATGAAATAGAATACATGTAATGTGTTTTTAAGAAGCTTATTTATCTATATGGAGCAGTAAAATACAATATTCTGTATTGTGTTTCAGTGTGATTTATCCCATTTATCCTAGGATCTTCCCAGCCTATTCCCATGTTTCCTACCTGCATAGATGCAGCAATGTGTGAATTGTTTTGTCATACATTCTCCAATTCATTCACTTTAAGAACAAGTAAAGTCAATAGTTTTGCTCAGTGGTAGGATTCAGCCAGTTCGCACCAGTTTGGCAGAACTGGTAGATAATTTTTTGTTGCCCAGACCCAGAATGGACTTCCGGAAGCCGCATCCACACAAAGAACTGGTTGTTCACATATTTGAATCCCACCACTGACTTTGCTGCATCTTGCGTAGCCTGGAAGCCTATTCCAGAGCAAACATCTACTACTCAGTGCCATGTAGATGTCAGACCACACATCCCATAATTTTCAGATGTCATGGACATGCTCTAGATCAGGGATAGGCAACCTTGGCTCTTTTATGACTCATGGACTTCAACTCCCAGAATTCCTGAGCCAGCCCTGATCTAGATGAAGCTGCTATGTGAGATCATCTGGGGATCATTTTGGGGTGCAATATTATTAGTATGCTGACAATAACAGATTTTATACACTTCCCTGCCTGTGCCAGAGATGACATGAATGTTGTAAGTGTTTGGAGGCTCCCAGGGTCTGGAGAGATCAGAATGGGGTAAAGCTGAATCCAAGAAAGCAGAGGTCATGTTTGTTTAAAAAGGTTCTCTGTTGATTCCAGTGTTATCTCTTGATGAGCAAGCATTACTCCAAAAGGAGCAAGATTATCACTAGAAGGCCAGCCTGAACTCACAGCTCCTGCTAAAACAGCAAGTAAAGTTGTAGCTAGAGAAGTTATTACCCAGCTCCAGCTGATGCTTCTGTTGCAGTATTATCTGGTGCCAGAGAACCTGGGAACAATTAATTCTTGCCCTGATTAATGCCTAGATAGCTACAATGCACTCTGCATGGAACTACCTTTAAAGATTCATCAGAAGTAACTATTAGTCCAGAATGTAGCAGCCTATGTGCTAACCAATGCCCAACCTTGGAGACACATTACAGCTATGCTGCGGGTTATGAATTAGCTTATAATTGACTTCTAGATGTAATTTAAAGTAAAGTTCTACCTCAGCATATTGCTGGACCACTTGGTCCAAACAAAATTATTTGAACTATTAGGGCATTTAGGAATAACATACTCCTAGTTCTCAACTTTGGGGAATAAAAGACGCTAAAGATGGAAGCCATTGCTTTTCAAGTGTTATGTTTGTTCTCTTAAACAAACTCCTACTGGAGATAAGACCAACTCTCTGATGACATTCAAGAAAATCCTGAAGCCGAAGAGTTGGTCCAGAAAGCCTTCTAATTAGACTCGGACATCTTTTATCTTTCTTATTTCTTATTAATATTGGAGCTGAGATAGAGAAATGATTCTATGACATTTTAATTTTCAATTTGTACTACGGATAAATTTCTTTATATCGTGTAAGCCTCTGAGAATCAATTCAAATTGTAGTGGGATATAACTGCAGTAAAATAAAGACATTTAGAAATGTCTTGCTTAGACAAACAAAACATTTAGAAAATCTGGTCTTCAGAGAACAGGCTTGCATATTGTGTTAAGTAAAAGTACTCTTGGTTTTTTAAAATTTCAGTGTGTTGGATGAACTCATTCAACTATAGTTTCTTTGTCAAGCCATGTTTAAACATATCATAGCTTACCATGCAGTATGTCGAGTTTGATATCAATCAATCAATCATCAAAGAAGCTGTTTATTCATATTAATGCTAAGCAGGTGTCTCAAAATACAGGTTTCTCAAAAATTCACTTACTAAATGCTAACCATGTTTGCCTCAGTTGCAGATAGACTCTGAAATCTGTCTGGAATCCAATATCATAGATGGTAAGATCAGAACCAGGTATTCCATGAAGGCGATGATATTCCCAGTAGCAATGCCAGATACCTTTTTAAAAAGAAATAATAGAATCATAGAACAATTTACATCCTTTAGATAATCTATACTGTGGTTTGCTTCAAAATCAAAGAAAACTTTCTGGCAGAAAGAAGATCAAATATAAGAGCTACAAACTATATGCTTGACTTGGGACCTAACACCCAGTAGAAGCCTTCTTATGATATGTATGCATAATCCAAAAGCACTTTTATATGCTTATGCAATAAGACATTTATCAATGGGATAAGAGAAAAAAATAGAGATTTTTACAGAAGTCTCTTGATTTGGTATGCTCTTGTTGGAGAAAAAAAAATCTGGGACCTCTATTTTTGATAGATGAAAGACTAGGATTCTTTTGCTCTTTCAGAAATTTTGAATGTATTAGTTTCAGTTCCCGTGGTTTGGTTTTGGTTCCCATTCCCAAAGCTTTATTTAATTTTTTTAACTTCATGATATGTCACACTTGCCATGCTGGCAAACATTTTCATACTTATGCTGTGCTGTATTTCAAATTATTTATTGCATTATTTTTTAAATTTATTATGTTTCATTTTGTGTGGCAAACAGAGATGAACTGCTCTATGAGTTATTTTATAAATTTAGCCAGTAAATAGTAAAGATAAAGCAAAACAAGCCTTACAATGTCTATAGATATACTTATTTGAAGAAAATAGCTTCCTGATTCTCAGTCATCAGTCTTTTCACAAATAATTGAAATTCCAAAAGAAACTTGCTGATAATTTTTTTGAGAAGGTGGAGCACCACCCAGTATTTTCTCTCATGTTTCAGACAGAAAAAAAATTCAAATTCTACTAGAGAGCAACATCAAACATGAAGAATATTGAATATTCTACACTGACAGCTGTCAAAATAGAGCATTCATGTGATATGTGGGTCATGTCTGATAACTGTACAGGTGTTTATGAATCAGGAAACTGAAGAAAAAATCACTTTCTCAATTTGCAGTGAAATAGGTTATTAAATTGTCACAGGTGATGAGCCAGATAGTCTGTCTGTCCATTTATCTATAGAAAAAGCATATATACATTTTTAAAAAGCTTGCCACTCAAACCATCCTTATGTCCTACCTAGTTAGTTAGTTGAGGTTGGATGCTTATCTCTTTTTGATGATGACGATTGTAAGACACCTCAAATTTTGTAAACTAAGTGTTCTTTAAATCTATCATGTCATATTTCAGTTTTTAGTAGGGCAATCATAGAACAAGGAGCAATCATAAACTTGCCAACATAAAATAACCAAAAGAGCAAATAGTAAAGATTTGCTTATTCCAATGGCCAATTCCTAACAAAAACTAATAGTGATATCATATTCAGATATATGAAAACACACATACATAACAAGTAAGCATCTGCATGGTGGGTAGAAGACTAGGGTGTTTTTCCTTTGCCCAAGTACTAGTAAAGTACTAGTACTAGTTATTGCAGTGCTGAAGGAAAAACAGATTGTGTGGAATCCTCGGTGGTCTCTGAGCTTGATTGTTTTCTTACAGACGTTTCATTATTTCACTAGGTAACATCATCAGTGTTAGAAGGGAATGGGGTTTGCTTTTTATACAGTGGCTATTTAACATTCAATTAGTTTGTTTGTAATAGGAAGAGGGGATCTAGAGCACAAATAGAATGGCCCCATAGGAAGTCAGTTAACGGGGAAAGTGTGAGATGGTATAGAATTAAGAGATTATTAGTTCTGCTTATCTCAGTATTAGTAGTAAAATGCTAGGTAGCTGTATGTAACATTTGGCACTTACCATATCCTATAATCCCAATTACACCAAAGATGAAAATCCAGAAGAGAACTCCTGCTATGAATCTCAGAAGCACAAGAAAGAGCAAGCTGACTACCATTGCAATAAACAGCCCTCTGGGAATAAAAATAAATAAAATACAACAGTTAAAAAAAATGAGCAAGCAGTCTCCTATGGCAGTGTATCCTGGCTTAAAGTATGGCGCTTCAATTGTTTCCCCTAATTTCATTGATATCTGAAGCAAATAGCAAGTAGAAATATAGAACAATGAATTCATAGAAAAAAACTGAATAAAGCACAAAAGAATGAAAAGGCAAAGAAGAAAAGCTATATTCCCACTTTGCGTGCATCTTCCACTGTGACTGTTTTATATGCTGAAGGCGTGACTTTTGATGAATAAGAACTTACATTAAGATCCAGTACCAAGAGCTCGCATAGTCTTCAAAAATCTTCATCCCAACTGATCTTGCATCAAGAACATTATTGATGCCACTTTAAAAAGGAAAAAGAAAAACAAGTTTTAGACTATGTCCCTCTTATATAAATCAACCAATCCAAGAGCTTGCCATAATAACAGTACAACATACCATTAAAAAAAAGATAGGTCACAACTCTGTTCATAGTGTTTGGTTAATTGGCAAAATGGAATATTCAGGGTTATAACTAGTAGTACAACTATGTTATATTGAGGTTTGTGCCCAAAGCAATAATAAGCTTCAGGAAAATATAAATCTTATGGAAAAGGTAAGAATATAGGTTCTAATTCTATACATATTAAATAGACCTACTTCTGTTTACTGTATATTACACACAGATTATGCTATTGAACTATTAACATTTCAAAACAATTATTAAAGCTACAATAAAACCATAGGATATGTAAGCAACACTGGTATACATCTAGGGAAATATTTATAATGTGTTAGTACTGGTTAACTATAGATGACTGTGTCATATGAAAATCAACCATGGTGTATGCTTGTTTGAATTAACCATTTTGAAGGTTGTGCAAGATAGCAAGTTTGCAGCTTTGGAGTTTATTTTTAAGGTTGTCTTTCTTATGCTTAAGAGTCTTTATAATGATTAAGATGTCAATAAGGACCAAAGAAATGCAGGTACAAGACTACTCTTAGCCATGGATATTTAGTGAGTAGCTTTGGCCCAATCACCTTTTCTCAGCTCAACCGGTGCTACAATGGTGCTCACGATGAGGAAAAATGGAGGAAAAAGGAAACTCCTGCAGGAAAAGCAGGATGTAGGTGAAATGAATTAATTGTTGCTTTTATTAAGCAGCCTTTAATATCCTGTTTGAACAGAAAGGACAAAAATAAAACAATCATAATAATTACAAGCTATGATGTCATTATTGCACTGATATCGGTCCAAGATACTTGGATAAGTAGTGAATGTTTCAGATCAAAAAAGAAATTCAGTGGCCATGATTCCACTTCCAGACATGAATAAGAAAATAATTTGCATCTAAAGTTGTTCCTGGAACAAATGAAATCAAAATCATGAAATTCTTCTCCTACATAGAGGTTTGTCCATGAGATTAGTACTGTAAAAAAATAATCCATGGCAATGCATTTATATGACTAGTCCAGAAAGTTGTATAGGTAAACACAAAAACACAAACAATCCATACTTTGCTGCTTCCCTGAGATCCGTTACATTCCGCGTTTTTCCTCTTCCATCTTTGAAAGTAGTCTGATTGGCCACAGTCAGAACCCCGTTTTTAGTAGAAAAATCAGGAAAGCACCTCTTAAGAACTGTTAAAACAAAAAGTTATGTGTAGTGTCATGTGTCTTTTTATTAAGATTCATATTTGATACAATGCAGATCAAATTGCATCTTATCATATTAGATTTAACACCATTATATATAATAACAAGAAGAAACTGTATATGGTTAAAGCAGTATGTGCTAGATATTGTGTAATTTATACACAATATCTGTTTCATTTAATTTACTAATGAAATGCAATTAGCTTCACTGGGGACTTTAATATTGGTATCTCAAATAAGTGATAATCTATCACTACTTGTCAAAAAAGATTTCTTCTAAAGCAACTAACAGGAACAGAGAAGGACTTCATGTAAAATTCTAAGAGGGAAGACAAGAATTACATCTTCATTTCCTGATCCTGCTAATTCTCAAGTTTTCTCGACAGTATTTACATTTTTAAGCATAATGCAAAATCCAATATAATTGCATTTTAAATGCAAAAATGAAGTAATCATATTCATGATTGATTTGAAAACTTTTTTAAAAAAGAAAAAGCACAAATGCCATAAGCAAATGTACCACTGGTCACATAACACAACACTTTTGGCACAAATTCTGGCAACCTTATTCTGTACAATGAAATTGTTGAGTAAGATTTATTGTTACACTATCAGTTCCCGCCCCATATATCTTTTTCATTTTTTACAAATAACTTGGTGATCTCCATTTTACTCTACAAATTCCTGGACAGCTAACACTAACCCTAAGTTGGTTTTCCCCCCCCCTAGGAATTTCCCATGTTTTTTACCAGGAAAAGTAAATAAGGCGGACTCAAAAAGTCAGCAACCTCCAAAGCATACCAATGCACTATGAATCTATTGGCGATGTCCATTTTACACTGTGAATTCATGAACACCTAACCCTAACCCTAAGTGGATTTTCCCCTCAATTGGATTTTCACAATTCAGTGATTAAAAACATCCCAACAGAACTGCTCTTGGGTGCATCTAGCAGTGTGCTGGCGACCATTATCATGAACCAACACCATACCGGAAGTCAGCATGCCCTGACACTTGTTATGGATGCTTGTCTGAATTTTAATAAGGTTTTGCAGTAGACTTCTGAAATGATGATTGAACCACACTCCATGAACTTCACTAGAAGTACTCCTTTGACATCTTCACATTTGGCAGGATTTTCTATGGCACCACTTCCAGTGTGGTGTTGGTTCACAATAATGCTCGCCTGCACACTGCTAGATGCACCCAAGAACTTTTGAAGCAGTTCTGTTGAGATGTTTTTGATCACACACACACACACACACACACACACACACACCATTGTCCAGATTTGGCACCGAGTGACTACTACTAAGGAATTTCAAACCTTGTAAAACGTTATGACAAGTGCCTCAATTTGAATGGCGATTATATCGAAAAGTAATCTAGTGTTGTAGTTTTCTAAGTGTATAATAAAGTGTATAATAAAAATTCTGTATCTGCAAGTGTCTGTCATTGATAAACAAATGGAGGTTTATTTCCAAATTGTCCTTGTATTTTATCAGGAAATGTAGACAAGGCAGGCTCAAAGAGTCAGCATTACCCTAAGCATACTGATGCATGATGAATCTGTTGACGATGTCAATTTAACTCTCTGAGTTCATGGAGACCTAACCATATCTCTTAAGTGGGTTTGCCCCCAAAGAGATTTTCCCATTTACTTTAGAAATAAATGTAAACAGGGCAGCACCCTCTTAAGTCTTACTGATGCACTCCGAACCTGTTTTTTTTTTCCAATATAAAATTTTATTGTTTTCATCATAAAAAAAAAGAAATACATCACAAATATTACACAATATTATATCCCATCCCCCCACCCCCCGGACTTCCCAAACCAAACCTAGGCTAATATTCAAATACAAGTAAACAAATATTAATATCTCTAACTCCAAACTCTAAACTTAAACAATCCATCTCCTCCGTATTAATAAAA